ACTGAGCTCAAGTGCATTATTGAGGCACCGTGAGACCTTGCCTCTTTCAAAACGTGGTTGAAGTACTTGTAGCTTCTGACCAGGTTCAATTTGGCAGTGAATAATACTTTCATGCTCCGGCAAGGTAGTGATAACATCTTCTTTATGCAGCTGGATTGGTGGCTTTGTGGCAGTGCATTCGAGGAAAATAGTATGATGGTCAAGGAGATGCCTTTGTTTCATTAGAATATCAAGAAGGTAAGAGGCCTCCTTGATAGAGAGTTCAGCTTCAACAAAGCAAATGGGAACAATCTCATCAAGGAGATCAACAGCTACATCTCTCTTGCCAATTTCAAAGCTAAAAACTTGTAACTGTCCAAATCTTCTACGTGACATGCTGTTACCTGGCAGGGGGGAAGAATCCACTAAGTCGAGCACCTTGACACAGTCCTTTATTGTGTGCACCAACGTGGTGATCAGTTTTGGTTTCTTTAACATAAATTTTGGAGGTCCTTTCAGTGGTATGGACATCAGGTTGCTTGTAGTGGACAATTCTTTTATTAGCCTTGTGGTCAATGAAAGTGCTAGGTATTCGTGGGAACAATGTAGGTGATGCATAAAAGGCAACAACTTTCTGCTGGCCTTTGTCTTGGACATGCACTACAGCAGGTCGGATCTGTATAGCTCCCAGGACTTTTTGTAGCTTCTTACTAAAATCGACATCGACGATCCCATCCTTCATCATAAGAGATCCATCATCCTCAATCTGAAAGGCTTCATGAGTGTCACTTCCTGTCGTACCAAAATCAACTGTCCAAAGGTTTTCATCGGTTCCCGCGGTGAAAGAACATTGCAGGCTACCTTCTTCTTTGCCAAAAGGAATCTTAATCTGTTCTTGGAAGGTTCTGAGCCTAAAGTTTTCAAGTTCAGTTCCTTCAGCATAGATGACCAAGAGCAGTCTTTTTTGGATATAGTATGGAATATTCATGTCAATCAAAATGCTCTGAAGTTGCCATCTTTCTTCTTGCGTGCAAGATCTGATATCTAAAAAGGTGACAGCGTGAAAGCAATAGAAAGCAGGGGCATCACTAGGACGTACATTCCAAAAGAGTGGAATCACTCTTTGGAGGTCTTGCTGAGCGGAGGAGGCAACTTCTTGACTGAGACAAGCATAGATCGACACCAGGGAATCAGTCACTGTTTGAACTTCTGATTCAGCAATGCCAAAGGTGACACAGCATCGGTCCGTCGCTCCAAGCTCTGTATGGAGAGGGGGGTCATGCGTGTAAACACGAAACCGAAAGACTCCAGGCACGGCAGTAATTGCAGCTTGGATCTGAGGCGTGAAGGACTTGCTGGAACACAGCCATGTTTCTGTATATTCCAGACTTGGCGAGAAGACTTCAAAGCTATTTACATTACGATTGGCATTGAGTGCAACAAAATATGTAGCTTTGGTAAAGGTGCGCGAGCCTCCATTTTGTGCAAATTCAAAGCTTTTGTATTTGCTAATTCGCTGTATGTGAGCTCGATGTCTTTTTAGCGAAGTGCAGACTCCAATCGTTAGGTCAACACAAGTAGCACTCAAAGTGCACTCATGAAAAAGAAGCACATGTCGTAGTTGAGAGCCTGAGTGGTAGAGTTGCAAAATGATATCTTGCAATCGACTTTGTATTCCATAAATGACAATGTCTATTGGATGACTTCCAGAAGCGGCAGCGCAAACATTATTGTACTCATCTTCTCCAACTATGAAAAGATTTCGGCTAAAACGGACTGTGTTGATCATGCTAGGGAAACGACAGAGAAAAAAGATACGAGGTGAAGCAGCTAAAGAAAGTCTGCTGAGCTGTGAGAAAATCCCTTTTGCCTCAAAAGAATCGAGGATATCATCATAAATAAATTGAGAAATCGTACAAGAGACTTCTTTAGAAACCATCCTTGGAGACAAATAAAGCCTGCAACAAAGATCGAATGGTGTCTAAGGACACCCTTCGAGTGTGCTTGCGAGGAAAGACAGCCAAAACTGCAATCAAATGGAGTCTAAGGACCCCACTTGAGATTGTACGGTGTCTAAGGACACCACACAATTGCAAACAAAATGAGTATGCTCAAGCAAAAAACCCTTAAGCACAGACTAAGAAGAACCTAACTACGCGCGCCGGCCCGGAGAAAACTTCTTCTCTTTAAGAAGTCGTCTTGAACCTCCTTGCTCAACGGCTTTTGCCGCGAGTTTGAGCCGAGATGCCTTGAGCCAAAGGCTACGGATCTCTTCTTTCCAATCGACTCATCAACCACTCGTAGGTTCCTCGGCCATCACCACTTGCACTGAACGGCAACATAGTTTCGCCAGATTTCCTCCACGAACATGCCACTCACAAAATATGAGAATGCATTACATCTCAAATTCTCGCCCATCCACACTTCCTCCATAACGGCGACGAAATCGCGAACACGCGCTCAGAATAGAACTTGCATTCATTCCGAATCTCCAAACCTCCATGGCTCTGCCAATAAGACCTTCTGATCTCCGATTCCGATCTTCTCTTCAAGAGACATTCTCTTCAAAAGACATTCGACCGACCTCGAAAACCTCAGACTCATCATGAAACCTGTCTAGTGCTCATCTTCCAGCTCCACAGATATTCCGCGTGAAGAAATTCCATGTCGGGATGTCCACCTCGCTCGATGCTTGCAGTTTGCGATGCATAAATTTCGTTTAAGTTTGTTTGTGAAAGATTTGAACCTGGCGGCAGCATAACATTTTGTTTCTTAATTGTTTGAAAGCGACTTGCAGCGCAGTCGGAAGTTTTGAAAGAGTTCTTTGCGTGTGGAGATGCTTTAAAAGACTGTTAATATGTTTTTCGTGTATTCTTTGCATAGTTTAGTGCTACGGGATATGTTTTGGCTCAAGGCCAATTCGTTTGGCTAGTGGAGAAAAGGGTGCGAGTGTCTGAGAGCAGCTAGTGCAGCGTTTGAAG